TGGTTAAGGGGTTAAATATTTTAAAGTTGACTAAGAGGGATTTGAGAGATATAAAGATAAAAAGTATTGAATAACAGAAGCCAAAAAAGAAACATATCAATGTCATTAGGTGTAGCCACTTATAATTGATATAGGGAAGATCTATAGATTATATTAAAATCATATCAATAACACTAAAAATGTAAACTCTCTGTATTTAGCTTACGTTTAGATACTCATGTCCCATTGAAATATTGAAATATGGCCTTTTTATTGGCTTTCAGAAAAGTTCAGACCCCTTAAGTTAATATGGGTAGTGTCTGATAATACCATATTGTTAACCAGGTTTTCCGAAGGAAAAAACTGGTTATTAGATTGAGGTATGTCGGCGGGCGGGCGGTCGGGGGGCGGGCGGACGGGCGGGCGGGCGGGCGTAAACAATTTCTTCTGTGCGCAACTCCTCCTACATTTCTCAACGGATTTTGACCAAACTTTCACAGAAGCTTTGTCATCAAGTGCCCTGGCGCATATTGTCGGGGTTTTGCGATTAGATAATATTTGACCTAATTATGGCCCTTTGTTTTTTTTTCCTTATATAAAATATATAGTGAACAATTTCTTCTGTGCGCAACTCCTCCTACATTTCTCAACGGATTTTGACCAAACTTTCTCAGAAGCTTTGTCATCAAGTGCCCTGACACATATTGCCAGGGTTTTGCAATTGGTATATATTTGACCTAATTATGGCCCTTTGTTTTTTTCCTTATATAGAATATATAGTGAACAATTTCTTCTGTGCGCAACTCCTCCTACATTTCTCAACGGATTTTGACCAAACTTTCTTAGAAGCTTTGTTATCAAGTGCCTGGCACATATTGTCGGGGTTTTGTGATTGGATAATATTTGACCGAATTATGGCCCTTTGTATATTTTTTCCTTATACAGAATATATAGAGAACAATTTCTTCTGTGCTCAACTCCTCCTACATTTCTCAACGGATTTTGACCAAACTTTCTTAGAAGCTTTGTTATCAAGTGCCTGGCACATATTGTCGGGGTTTTGTGATTGGATAATATTTGACCGAATTATGGCCCTTTGTATATTTTTTCCTTATACAGAATATATAGAGAACAATTTCTTCTGTGCTCAACTCCTCCTACATTTCTCAACGGATTTTGACCAAACTTTCTTAGAAGCTTTGTTTTCAAGTGCCTGGCACATATTGTCGGGGTTTTGTGATTGGATAATATTTGACCGAATTATGGCCCTTTGTATATTTTTTCCTTATACAGAATATATAGTGAACAATTTCTACAGTGCGCAACTTCTCCTACATTTCTCAATGGATTTTGACCAAACTTTCACAGAAGCTTTGTCATCAAGTGCCCTGGCGCTCACTAAATTCCCATGTTTCTTCCAAGACATCATTCAAGTATTTTTTTAAAATTGTGAACATACTTTTCTTGATATCGCACAAAACACCACACGCCAATATTGTTGACAAAACAAAATGACAAGAGACGCAAAAATGCAAAAATTAAGCAAAAATAAAGTACTGTTTACCTTTCTAAAACATTTGGGAAAAAAAGGCGAATAGACAACATAAAATTTCTCAATCATTTTTGTTTGAGGAATATTAAAAAAGCCATAATTCCTCCTAAAAGTTCAATTAAAAACAAATGCCCCTTCATGACAAAGCTTCTGTGAAATATTTTGCTGAAAACCTGGTTGCATCGCATTGCGATGTTCCTTGTTTTTTATTTTGTTTAGTAAAATTCTGGTTATCTGTATACATTATCTAATGCTATGCTCCTATAATAGAATGCATTTAGTTATAAAATGTTATTATTATGTGTTATATGGCCCAAATTATATTATACATTGTTTTGCATACATAACATTAACCACTAAGTGAGAGTTCTATTGCAAACAACTATTTATATATTGCCATATAACCTGTCAAGAATCTACATATTCAGCAAACTTCCTTTATTACAGAAAAAAATGAAATAACTTCATAAATTGACAGCAGCCATGTATAAAAGTTATAATAAGTTCACGATTATCCAATGAAAAGCAGCATAAATACGTACATATATTATAAAAAAAATAGATATCTATTTACATATTTACAATATCTACAATTAAAGAAAACATACAGATTGTTATCTGAGCATTAATAATAGCAAGATCATTTTACCTTCAAAGATATTGATGTATTTAGATTTAATTTTACTTTATATGCAATTCATTATAGATCAAGTTGTACTGAATTGATAATGTTTACCCTTATTTGGGATCATATCATTTTAATCAATATCAAATTGAATAGCTGGTTTTTCAATTTGCTTGCCAAAAGTGAACAGTTTCACAAGGTGTTGTGAGTGTTTTACTTTATGTTTTATGTTCAAGGAAAATATTTTTTAGATGGATACCTCTGTATGGTATTTTTCTCTTCCAAGGAATTTTTCATTTTGTAAGTGTCTTGAATTTGTAATAAAAAAAGAAAGAAAATAAGACAAAGGCTTATGTTTAATTGATAATGGATTTAGATAAGAATGGTGCTAGAATTATATCTTTTAAAGATGTTTTCATTTATTTTTCATTAATATATATTTTAGGATTATTAATTTTGACAAGCATTATTGTATACTGTTTTATTTCTCAGGGGTTTACACATTTGATATCAAAATTAATTATGCTATTTTGCATTTTTGTTCTTGCACAAACTATTTTCATTTCTGTTGTCATGTCATATCATTAGAATGCCTATACAGTTTAGTGGGCAGCGTCCAGAGCATTTATCCTTAACTGTACATTCATAGATGCTAATGTTTTTCCACTATCTGACAATATATTGCATGCATGAACCAGGTCTCTAGGTCAAAAGTCAAGGTCACAAAAAAAGGTTAGAGGGGAAACACATTTCTGAAGCAAAACTTCTACAAGCATTAAAATGTTTTGATGTAATCTGACACAACTGTTAACATTATAAGGTCAAGTGTCACACACAAAATATAGGTCCCTGTAGCCATGTCAAGTGTCACACACAAAATATAGGTCCCTGTAGCCATGTCAAGTGTCACACACAAAATATAGGTCCCTGTAGCCAAGGTCATGATCACATACAATGATTAAACGACTCACAGAAAATAATGAAATGTGTGTATGGATCAGTGCTGAATTGAGAGATTATTTTACAAATGTGACTTTGATACCTCTTGGTCATAGCACAGTGATTGAGCTGTTACACATATGTTCCTTAATTTGCCACGTTATTTGATATCTCTCAGGCATTTATGTTCCTTCAGTTGCCACATTGATTGCTCTCAGGCATTCATGTTCAGTTGCCACATTGGTTGCTCTCAGGCATTTATGTTCAGTTGCCACATTGATTGCTGTCAGACATTCATGTTCATTTGCCACATTGATTGCTCTCAGGGTTTTCATGTTCCTTCAGTTGCCACATTGATTGCCGTCAGGCATTCATGTTCAGTTGCCACATTGATTGCTCTCAGGCATTCATGTTCCTTCAGTTGCCACATTGATTGCTGTCAGGCATTCATGTTCCTTCAGCTGCCACATTGATTTCTCTCAGGCATTCATGTTCCTTCAGTTGCCACATTGATTGATCTCAGGCATTCATGTTCCTTCAGTTGCCACATTGATTGCTGTCAGGCATTCATGTTCAGTTTGCCACATTGATTGCTGTCAGGCATTCATGTTCCTTCAGTTGCCACATTGATTGCTGTCAGGCATTCATGTTCAGTTGCCACATTGATTGATCTCAGGCATTCATGTTCCTTCAGTTGCCACATTGATTGCTGTCAGGCATTCATGTTCAGTTGCCACATTGATTGTTGTCAGGCATTTATGTTCCTTCAGTTGCCACATTGATTGCTGTCAGGCATTCATGTTCCTTCAGTTGCCACATTGATTGCTGTCAGGCATTTATGTTCCTTCAGTTGCCACATTGATTGCTGTCAGGCATTTATGTTCCTTCAGTTGCCACATTGATTGCTCTCAGGCATTTATGTTCCTTTAGTTGCCACATTGATTGCTGTCAGGCATTTATGTTTCTTCAGTTGCCACATTGATTGCTCTCATGCTCTCAGGCATTTATGTTCCTTCAGTTGCCACATTGATTGATCTCAGTCATTTATCTTGTTATGATATAAGGTATGATATGTCTTGTAATTCCTTTGATGTACAATACTTGATTACATGTAAAAATGTTTATAACAATGTGTTAGTCATAGATTTGATATAAAGCATTATCCTAAAACAACTACAAATATCACTGAACACTTTAAAGTTGCACGCCTCCAGATGAGAAAAAATTCAATAAAATCAAAGCTTAGAAAAATGCATAAAGATTTTAGGAAAAGTAAAAAGATTCAAACCTCTAGTAATAATTTACATATATGTGCGATTAATGACCGACTTTTCAGTATTTATACTTATATTAAGTTTCTACTGTATTACTAACGCAGTAAGGGCTATTTTTGCATAATTTGACCTTTTTTTAGTATGTTACATGGGTTGTTAGTGCATTGATAATGTGTAAATTGCATTCTTTTAGTAACTTCACAGTATTTTTTACCTTTAAATACATTTTCAAATTTTCATGAAAACTAGCATGAATATGGAGGCGTGCTGCTTTAATACACAAGGACATACTATCCAGGATTTCTCTTTTATGTCTATTGATAAAGTAACTTCCTTGGATATGACTTTTGAAAGAGACTTCCTGGATATATCACTTGGATACTTTATCCCCAAATGGAATGAATTCCAAAGTTCTGTTTTAATGTCTGTCAGTTTACTAAAAAGTATTTTATATTTATCTTAGTCAGTTTTACTGCCGTTTTTACTCAACATTTGCACTTTAATTGCTTTCTTCACTATAGTTTAATGCATCAAATTGGTCCTGTCTATGATTATTATGTCAAACACTTTATGACATTTTGGCGTCGTTTCTATTGATGTCATGCGACGTTGATGTTTTGACGTTGTTTCTATTGACGTCATGCGACGTTAACATAATTTCCTGTTTATTGTTATTATTGATTTATGTACTCTGAAGAATGCTGTTGGTATAATAAAGGGAATTACAGAATTTGCAGTTGACTACCTATTTTTTACTGCCTATAACTCTCGTAAGAGGGGTTGGCAGTATCCAGAGATAGATAGATGGACTATTTATTCTGATACAACAAGTAGTCAATGGCATCAGTTTATGATCCTGCATGATGACTGAAGAAGAAACAGAGGATTATTGTACAAAGAAAATTGAAAACTTGGCAGACTTACAGATGAGAGAGACAACACATTTAAGTTTTCTAGAAAACTATACTACAGGTGTTGTACCAAATGGATTAAGTTTAAAATTACAGGTGCTCAAGGGGAGCATTTGTGATCACAATTTGTATGGTGTCTGTCATTTGTTAGTGCATCCATCGTCAACTGTTCATACATATGACTTCTTCTCAGAAACCACTGGGCCAAATTTGATGAAATTTTACTGGGAATTGTTCCCAGCATGAAGCTCTACAAAACGTTGTTCAAATGGTTTTGCTCAATCGAACATCTAGTCAGGAGGGCTAAAAATAGATTTTTAAAATGAAATCTTTAAAAATCTCTGAAAGTGCAAGGCCTAGAGCTTAGATATTTTATGTGTAGCATCATCTCATGAAACTACAAACATTTTACAATTTATAGCCCTTGGGTCAAAATTGGCCCAGTCCCGGGGGTCATTGATTTTCATTATGTACATATAGTAAAAACTTAAAAAATCTTCTCCTGAAAGTGCAAGGCCTAGAGCTTAGATATTTTGTGTGCAGCATCATCTCATGAAACTCTTCAAAAATTGTTCAAATTGACCCCGCCCCAGTAAAAATTCATCTCTGTTTTGACAAAGGCTAATGGTTAGATATTTGGCATGAAACATTTTGTAATAGATCTCTACCAAATTATAGCCCTTACATCAAAATTAGCCCACTCACTGCCCCGTGGGTCATTGATTTTCAGTATCTAGATATAATATCTTGAAAAAAAATTTCATCTGAAAGTGCAAGGTCTAGAGCTAAGATATTTTGTGTGCAGCATCATCTAATGAAACTCTACAAAAATTGTTCGAATTATAGCCCTGGGGTCAAATTTGGCCCTGCCCCAGGGGTTGATTGATTTTCATTATGTACTTATATTACTTGTACATGTATATAGGAAATACTTTAAAAATCACCTTCTCTGACAAAGGCTAGAGATTAGATATTGTTATAAATTCTTCTCTCTTGTAATTTATAATTTCTACTAGTTCCATAATTTCACATATTTGCATAAAATAAACAATAACTGTTTTCCGTTTCATTTCACCATTTATTTATTTGAAAGTGTCCTAAATTTCTAATCTACAATTAATATTTAAAGTTACAGAGTTTTTCTTCCTCACACATGGTTGATAAGTCACTCAATTTTTACTATTTAGCTCTTAAGATCTCATTCTTGAAACTTCCATCTAAAATCCTGAATCTTGACTCTTCAATCTAGAAACTTGAATGTTAACTCCCCCTTGAAAATCTTGTAGCAGTATTTATATGAAATACCTAGTCTCTCCATATTTGGAGGTTACCTTAGTGTTAATTGACAAATCTAAGCCTTCTATATTTATGACGACAAGTGTTGATCAAGTAACTGTACCAGAAACAAACAGACTGATTCCTGGAATATTTATGATGATAACCAATGATTGATTTCCCTAAACACAACAATTGCAGGCCTCTTGTCCATAATTTATGCAGGTACCCGTTGACAGAGTTACCAAACTAAAATCTCCCAGACTGATACACAGTCTAGCCCCAACAGATTTATAGTAATAAATAATGACAACAAATGAGGTCTCAATTCTCATACAAACTCAATCATTAAATCATACCTTAACCAGGTGCCTTGCTAAAACTACAACACTCCCCCAACCTTAAAAAGCTTAATTGTCCCAATTAAGTTATTAGTTAATAACACCAAACAAAAATATAGAAATGAAACAAAAGTCAGTGACTATTCAACCAATCTTACTCCCAAAATGAATAGAAGTTAAACAATAAAACATTCTCAGTTAACATATAAACACTGCATTAACTAAAATAAGCATTATTCAAATACAAAATTCTAAGAAAATACTAAATCTACAGAAATGTTACTTCTGTTAACGACAATTTTTTTCTAACTACAATTATACATTGAATACTCAAAACAAACTAATTAAATTTCTTAAACAGTTGTTCAACTTTTAACACCATGTTTTAATATCAAAATGAAACTTTTTTTTTTGCCACTCAATTATATAATATAATTGTTCTGTTGTCCCCTTTTTTTCTATTTCACAATATCCTAATTCAATCTTTCACACATTGTCCATTTCTTGCACACAAAGTCCTGGTGCCTATTTATTTCTTAATAAATTTTAACAAATGTGTAAGAATTCTTAAAAAGGCACAAACTGAATATAAAATTTTGTTTGGTAGTCGTCTCTACCATAGAGTCCTAAGTGCCAAAATATTAAACTTAATATTTATATATAACATAATTGAAATTAGAAAATGGCACTGATTGTTAAACTGAAAATAAAACACTTTAAAATTCAATTTGAACCAGAATCTCACTTTAATATTCCAATTACAAAGAAATCACAAATTAATATTCCAAATTGAAAAGAATCACAAGTTAATATTCCAATTCAGAATGAATCACAAATTAATATTCCAATTTTGAAATGAATAACAAATTAGTATTCCAATTTGAACGAATCACAAATTAATTCCGATTGCATTTTATATCCAATATATATTTTTGTAAGAACAACGTTTTTAATTCCTCTTTTTTTTCACTATTTTCTTTACACTCTCGTATTATTCCAATATTAATTCCCTACACAATTCTGAATGGTCCAAAACTCCGAAATGACTGCAAAATCTCAGAGTACCCTTATATACCCAACATGTACTCCTTTGAAATCAAAACTTATTGAAAGATATTTTACATGATGATTCTTTATTATCTTTATGTCCCGTGCTGGTATGGTATGTGTTGAGTTTTATTCCTTTTACCTCTTCTTACTTGTTGAAAATCTGATTCAAAGGTCATGTATGGCATTGTTTTAGTTTCTTTGATGTGTAATTCATTGCTTTGCTTGTTGATCTTCGCCATATCTGATTGCCAATTTGTCATTTAATTTCCATGATAATGTTTCAAACTATCATGATGCATGATTTCCACATGGCCATTAGCTGTCCTCGTTATCAGTGCTAACCCTGTCCATTTTGTGACCATCAGTGCATTTTGGTGATCGTTTTAGAAATGAACATTTCTTGCATTGCTTTATATGAATTTCAACACTGTATCTTAGCTTAAACCAATAAAACTTGCATTTAATTTTTGACAAAGTTTTTGTAATTCCCAAATGAACGCCTGTAACTGAGTCATGTGTAGATACCAAAATCTCTTTTTGTAAAACCTTTGGAACAATAAGAAGCAAAGCGTCCTCTCTTGTGTTGAAAATACTGTTACATTTTATAAACAGTACTCCATCTTTCATCACTAGCAAGTCATAGTTAAACCAGTAGTTCCTTATATTTGGAGAATATCTAGCTACCTTGTCCCTGGAGGGTCGTTTGTTTTCAATAACCCATGTTATAACAACTTCTAAATCTGGGTCTGCTCTTTGTAGTTTTGCAATTCTGACAGTTGAATAACAAGTAGTGTTGAACTGCATAAGACAACCCAAGTTAGATGCCTGAGCTTCATTTACTGATGAAACAACTTCGCCACCTAGTATGGAATTTACGCTCTTGTCAACCACTTGTTTGCTTTCAGTAACCCATGATGTCCCAACACCTAAATCAAGGTCTGCTCTCTGTAATTTTGCCATTCTAACTGGTGAATAATTAATAGTGTTGAACTGCTTAAGACAACCCAAGTTAGATGCCTGAGCTTCATTTTCTGATGAAACAACTTCGCCACCTAGTATGGAATTTACGTCCTTGTCAACCACTTCTTTATTAATTTCATCGATGTTGAGATTGCTTCCACTTCTTCGACCATGCGAATGTAGACTTTCACAGAAATGAAGTCGACCAATGTGATATCGAAAATACTTCCTTGTCCTATTCATTCCATGGAAAAGTGATCTTAAACAACTCAATAATCTCATAACTTGCAGCTGCATTAACAAGAAAACATCGCTCCAAAATGCCCAGTCATTTTGAGGTTTCACTCCTAACACAACAGGTTTGATACTTTTCCCTTTACCTATGTTCTCATCGAACAAGGGAACAACATTATCAAATTCGGCAAAATCTGACCAAGACTCATGTTTTTTCATACAGGTTACACACCCTTTGCAAGGTAATTCTTCCAAAATTGTTTTTCCATCATAACAACTACACTCTTCTTGTTCATATGACATTCTAGAGAGACCGTCAAGATTTGCTTATTTTCTCCCACTTCTATGTTCAATCCTAAAATTTAACTGTGACAAAACTTCTTAACAGCGAACCATTTGACCTGTCGGCGACTTGAACGACATTTAACATCGCATACTTGAACAATATGTCCTTAAAATTCTCTTTCTAAAATGTAGGATAAAAGTCACAACATCCAAAAGTTCTCTTCAAGTTGCACAGTACAGTCTTTGAGATTGATAAAAGGCTTAATTGCAAACACAACATTAACTTAAATTCTGCTTCCTGATGATCTATGATATAACCCTTTTAACTTACTGCTCCATTTAGTGAAACCATATTTAATATTATCATATGTTTTACTAGTTAATTTGCAGTCATCAATTTTCACTTTCTCTTTCAATAAATCTAATTGATTTAATTCATGCAAATATCCAAATATTGACCCCTTGGTCAATTTTACATTTCTATCAAAAGTTAACTAATCTAATGGGAATTGAATTGCCTCGAACTTCCCTATGGGATACTAGCACACTTCCCATAAACACTTTATCTGCTGGCTATTTATTTTCCGAAATGCAGGAGATGCCTAATGATGAGTTAATTGTTCAAAGATTTATTGCCTTACCAGGTTTAACAATGTTTGAATTTACTTGAATTGATACCTTTGACCGTGTTATAATTTTCACAAATCTTAATGGCACATTCTCCACAATTTCTTTTTTTCATTAATCCTAATTTAATTCCAATCGAGCAATAAATAAAAACATATTTTTCATTTAAAGTCTTATCCTATTAATCTATCTTCATGAATATGTGCAATGAAAACAGTGCACTTAAAAGTCTGACAAAAATTCACACTAACCAACTATAATTAATAATCCATCTATGTCATTAATCCTCTGTCGATAATGTTTCGCAATTTTATCTCTCTGTAACATGGCTTCTTGCTCTGTTTTTCTAATAGCTACTTCTAATTTTCTGTTTTCTTCTTCTGCAATTTTCAGTTTTTCATGTAATAACTCAGTTTCTGATAAAACGTTGTCACCAAATTGTTCTTCCACAATAATTGAAGCTGCACCAGTTTGTTTCTTTGGTCCCATTTTAGAAATTTTATAATGTACAGTTCAAATAAATGTCTCTTCAGATAATCACTTTAAAATCTTTTCTAAACGTGTTAAAGTCCAAAAATCCCGTTCGCTGCCACCAGTGTTATAAATTCTTCTCTCTTGTAATTTATAATTTCTACTAGTTCCATAATTTCACATATTTGCATAAAATAAACAATAACTGTTTTCCGTTTCATTTCACCATTTATTTATTTGAAAGTGTCCTAAATTTCTAATCTACAATTAATATTTAAAGTTACAGAGTTTTTCTTCCTCACACATGGTTGATAAGTCACTCAATTTTTACTATTTAGCTCTTAAGATCTCATTCTTGAAACTTCCATCTAAAATCCTGAATCTTGACTCTTCAATCTAGAAACTTGAATGTTAACTCCCCCTTGAAAATCTTGTAGCAGTATTTATATGAAATACCTAGTCTCTCCATATTTGGAGGTTACCTTAGTGTTAATTGACAAATCTAAGCCTTCTATATTTATGACGACAAGTGTTGATCAAGTAACTGTACCAGAAACAAACAGACTGATTCCTGGAATATTTATGATGATAACCAATGATTGATTTCCCTAAACATAACAATTGCAGGCCTCTTGTCCATAATTTATGCAGGTACCCGTTGACAGAGTTACCAAACTAAAATCTCCCAGACTGATACACAGTCTAGCCCCAACAGATTTATAGTAATAAATAATGACAACAAATGAGGTCTCAATTCTCATACAAACTCAATCATTAAATCATACCTTAACCAGGTGCCTTGCTAAAACTACAACAATATTTGGTAATCATTGTGTAAGAGACCTCTACCAAGATTGTTCAAATTATAGTCCTGCGGTCAAAATTTAAGCCCCGCCCCGGGGGTCATTGATTTTCATTATGTTCTTACAGTAAAAACTTAAAAAATCTTCTTTTCTGAAGATATAAGGCTTAGAGGTTTGATATTTGGTTAATGATATCATCTACAGGTCCTGTAACAATGTTGTTCAAAGTTTTTCTCTAGTGTCAACATTTCTCTTGTGTCAAAATTGGCCCCACCTCGGGGGCCACTAAAGTTTCCATTTTGGAAAAAACACTCCAGGGACTACTGTTTCAGTCCAAATATCCTAGAAATTGGTTAGAAAGGTTGTTTTGGTGATTTCTTGGGCATTTTCGAATATGGGTCATCTGGGGTTAAAAACTAGGTCACACAGCCCAATATTTTCCTTCCACATATCCTGGACAATTGTCAGAAAGTTTTGTTTTGATGATTTCTAGCTCAGCTTTGAACACGTGGGTCATCTATGGTCAAAATCTAGTTAACACAGACCAAAAATGAAAAAAACTTTGTTATCACTCTAGAGTTTACATTTTTAGCCCAAATATCCTGTACATTCAGGTCAGAAAGGTTGTTCATTCAGGTTTGAATAGGGGTCATTTGAGGTCAAAAAAAGGTCACAGCACATAAAAAGGCAAATGTGAAATAGACCTTATTAACATTTGCACTATTTCAGCAGGTGCAGATATGAATGTTATGCTATCAGTTTAAGTTTATGGCATTATATCTGCCTTTTATTCATTAACAATATTAATTTATAGCCTCAATAATCAGGTAAGCGAATTATAAGGGCAATCTTGGCCCTCTTGTTTTTTACTATTAGTTCTAAATGCATATTTTTAGTTCTAAATGCAGGAATATGTTCTTTCTGTTGGCTGTTAAGTTTTGTTAATAAGTAATGATGTTCCTTGCCCAAGACTCGGTTCTACAAAGACATGGTAATTTATGAGAACATATTTTGTCTATTACAGATCCTATTGAGGTGGATATTGATGAAGTTGTAAGTACAATTTCTTTTTTAACCTTGTTTAATATTATTGTAACTTGTGAATATTTGGCAGAATTGTGTTGGGGTAATTTCATTTATTTGTTTTGTTACAATCATAATTCTACTTCCCTTTTGAGTCAGTAAGGGAGAAAGTTATAAATAGTTAAGGGATTGTCACTTAAAGGGATTTCTGAATCATAGAGGGGTATAGTTTTATATTAGTGTAGGCTCTTAAATAAGTGACAGACCATTAATTCTTTGAGGTAGTCTGGTTATCAGGTAAGTAAGGAAGAAACTCTAAGATGTGGTTTTATAATCAGTAAGAAAAGAAATTTTGTCATAGAGTTACCTTAGTGTGAATGATAAGTGACTTTAAAATCAATAGGGGAAGATATTTTGTCCCAGACTTGTCCCAAGATTAATTCTTAGTGTAAATGATAACAAATACATTAAAATGTAATGTTTTGATAGAGAACGAATACAAATACAAAACTAATTAATTTGTTGAAAGGTTATCTTAAAGAACACTTATAAAAAAGCAATAAAGATGTGAGCTCAATTAATATTTGATTGACTTTTTGCTGTTATCTTACTGGTTTCTACCACACAATGAAGCATCTTGCCGTGTAACGTCAACAATATTATCAAATATATACCACATTTCTTACAATAATTTAATTTGTAAGGTCTAAAATTCAATAGTTAAAGAGCTTAATATAGAAATACAAGATTTAAATCTTGTCCTGTTCAAACACTCTCAATAGTTCTGTTTGCAAACCTTTTCTGAATGATGGAACACGACAAAAGATAACGTTCATGCGAACCTGTAATCTTTCCATGTCAATATAACGTTTTATAATTTTATCCATTTTTCGTTGATATGCTAATATGTTCTCTTTCAAGCGCTCGTATTTTACAAATAGGATTATCACAGGATTTTAAAAGCCTCTCCAGTTATATGATGACTCTAAAAGCAGAGAAATTTGTCATAATACATCAATACAAATAATAAATTTGCCTTGTTGAGTGCAGTTATTTACAATTTTAATACCTAACATTAGTATGGTCTTGTTTTGTACTGGTCTACGTTATGGATAGATGAGAAAAAGCTATCTGAATCATACTTAAAGATATAAAGAAATACTTACCAAAAAATAAATTATCTTAAAAACAAAGGTTCTCAGTTAGAATTTCAATCAACTTCATGTTAGAGAGGTGTCAATTTGAGGCCTTTATTCCTCGCCTTTTGTTTATTTATTTATTTTTTTTCTGACAGAAAAATCTATCTGACAAACAAATTAAGTTGTCAACGCTTTTCATTAGAGCTCATTTTTGCAATTAAAATTTTTTTTTTCTGGACAACTGAATTGAGCAAATGATCTGAAATGTTGTGTTTAGACCTACCGGGTACATTTAATAGTACAAACTAATGGCAAAATAATTTTAGTCCCATGTCAAAAAACCTCTGTGAAGTCCTTTTAAACTGTTAGCTGATGATATTGTGGGAAAACCAGTACACCTGGAGTTCTCAGACCTTGGGTCTATTTCTTTAATGCCTCTTACAATATTTATTTATCAAACTGTTCAACAATATCTCTGTGTCATGCAATATATTTCCCAAATTTCATTTCCTGTCAGTGAACTAGTACCAGCTTTATTGGGGAAAAAATGAGTAAATTATAAAAATCAACAAAAATGTTCAAGTACAATATAAATCAACATTATTGATAAGGATATTAGATACACTGTATATATAGATATTGGTTGTGCACAGAAGTTAATAAATAAACACTTCAAATATTAATTTAACATGAAGAAATAAATTTGCTTTACAGTCTGTTCAAGTTTACATACTTATGTATATTTTTATAACTCCACACAACAACTTATGTATATTTTTATAACTCCGCACAGTTGTAGGGGGGTATACTGGAATCAGCTTGTCCGTCCTGCCGTTGCCTGTCCGGCTGTCCAGCCGTCCGTCAACTTTTTTTTGTTCGCCCTGAATAACTTAATAAATTAAAAAAAGCTTGTCTGCCCAATAACGTGGGCCTTGACATCAAATATTTTGTCCGCCCAGTAACTTAAGAATCCTTTGAACGACAGTCTTCATATTTGGTATGGAGGTTGATCATGATCATTAAGTGACCCCTATTGATTTTGAAGTCACTGGGTCAAAGGTCAAGGTCACAGGGTCCTTAAGTTTCAAAGCTTGTGTGTCAATTGCTTAAGAATGGTTTGATCAACAGTTTTCATATTATTTGGTATTGAGGTTGGTTATGACTAGAAGATGACCCCCATTGATTTTTATGTGACTGTGTCTAGGTCTCAGGGGCTTTTACTACAATAAGCTTGTCTGCTCAAATGCTTAAGAATGCATGTCCACAGTGTATTGATTTTGACATTTTCACATTTGAAGCATATAATTATGTTATATTTGTCATAAAACACCCCCAGGCAAAGCTGCATGGGGGGGGGGGGGTATTTAAGTCATTCCTAGGCAATTTCAGTTTTGAGGTCAGTAGGTCAAAAATAAAGGTCACTTTGATGTTTGCCACCAAAAATGTAGAATACATAACTTACCAATGCACTGCCTTTCTCCCTCAGATTTGGCAGGAAGGTTATCCAACTTGTCCTTGAGCTTTATATGACCACTGTTGATTCTGACAAAGTGGTATGCCAGGGCATTCATGCCATGACAGTGGCAGTTCTTATTTGTATCACCTTGGACAAGTCGACATATATGGTTTACTTTTGTTGGCTGTGTCATCTTCAGCAGCTAATCCTTAGGCTTGTCCGGAGCATAATCAGTCACTATAAGTCTAAACTCCAAACTTGGTAATTTGCCTGCTTCTTTTAATAACCTGAAGTGCAATGCACAAGAATCGTTACTCTGCTCTTCTTATTTTATGAGTTATTGCCCTTTGTTAATTTTCTTACTTTATTTTTGTCCGGGCCATTTTTCCTTTTTCCTGAACATAAAAGCTATGGATTTGAAACTTTATAGGATTATAGATTTCAGAGCATTGCAGAAGTGCAGTGTCCTTTTTTAATTTTCATACTTTTATAATTTTTGTCTGTGCCAATTCTTCTACACTTTTCAAAGCTATTGATTTGAAACATCATAGGATGATGGATCTCATTGAGAAGAAGTGCAGTGCACAAGAACCGGTACTTTGTACTTCATGATTTTTGAGTTATTGCCCTATTTTCATACTTTACTTTTGTCCTGACCAATTCTCCTACACTTAAAAAGCTATTGATTTGAAACTTCAAGGGATGATGGAAATCATTGAGAAGTGCATTGCACAAAAACTTGTTCTCTGCACTCCATGGTCCTTGGTTAATTTTCATACTTAATGGGCTTGTCCAGAGCATAACTTGGTCACTATAAGTTTGATTGACTCCAAATTTGGTATGTAAGCTTTTTTTCATTGACCTGAAGTGCAGTGCTTAAGAATCCATCACAGAGTCCTCCATTTGATCTGTCAGTGTAAAATTTTTCCATGTATATAGGAGTCTACAGGTGGTCGGTCTCCAGCGGTACATTGCATTTTCCTTGTCCGGAGCATAACTCGAAGACTAATGGTTGGAATTCAATATAACGTCATACAATGATCAATCATATTAAGAGGAAGTGCAGTGTACAAGAACCATTGCTCCATCTTGACTAATTACAGAGTTATTGCCCTTTGTTACTTTTCCTTGTCCAGTTCATAACTTGAAAACTACTGGTTGGAATTCAAAACAACTTCATACAATGGTCAAAGGCAGTGAGATGAACTGTAGTGCACAAGAACCATAACTCTATTTGGACTAATTACAGTTATTGCCCTTCCTATTCATACAATGGTCAAGCGCAATGAGAGGAATTTCAGTGTACAATAACCATCATTCCATCTTCAGTATTTATAGAGTTACTGCCCTTTGTTCCTTTTCCTTGTCCAGTGCATAATTTAAAAACTTATGTTTAGAATTCAATGCAACTTCATACAATGGTCAAGTGCAATGAGAGGAAATGCAGTGCTCAAGAAGCGTAACTCTTTCTGCACTTTTTACAGAGTAATTCAATAAAACTTCAATGGTCAACCACATTGAAAGAATTTAAACATACAAGAACCACAACTATCTTTAATTGCCCACAACCATTACTCTATTTCAATTCTTTTACAAGGTATTCTGTTACTAGTACCTTCCTCATTTCCGAAGCAGTCTTGCGGGGGTATTGGTTTATACAGAATTTATTTTAGTTCAATTGTGTAGGAGGCTATAAGCTTATAGACACACTTTCGAATCCATTCCTGGAACCAACCAGTAATGAGCAATGAGTGTAAAGTTTCTTGCTCAAGGAAACAACGACTTGCCCCTGACTGGGTTTGAACCCATGCGGCTAGCGATCATGAGATTACTGGTCGCTTTAACCACTCGGCCATGCCGCATCTTGCGGGGGTATTAATCACATTTAGTGATAGTTCTAGTTATTTTTGATAATATAACAGTTTTATTAATCTGACGTAACATTGTTACAATCAGTTTAAATGCCACTAAATTTAAAGGTACATATACATTGCAAGAATAATCTATATTTCAGAAGAAAATGCCTAACTGACAGCTCTACTGTTGACAAGGCGACACCTCCAACTTGTGGAGTTCTAGTTTAATCTATTACATCTGTTGCATGATTGCTAACACTTAAATCTTTTCAATAGCTAACCTTGATCTGTTCATGAATAGGTCATAGAAAAAAAGGGGGACCTGTTCATGTTTTGCTGCTACAGGTGAAGCTTTTTGCAGTGTACAGAGCATATATTATTCAGTTACCAAACTGATGGTTTTTAAGAGCCTCTGTAAAAATATTTATCTCTGTTTCACATTATGTACTGAATATGAAGAACAAGTGTGAAAAACAATTTATGATCACATTATTGAAAGGTATGTAAAAATTAGAAGGTTGCTATGAAACTGCTGATTGGTTACAGGTAGCCAGCCCTTACATCAATGCTTTAAGTGAA